CTCTAACTCTCATCAGGGTACTGAGCAACAGACCTGCCTGTCCCTGTGTCATCTGGATGGCTTTCCCTGATTCTCTATTTAATGTCCTGTACATTGATTCTGCCATAACTAAGCTCTGCAGTGGGAGGGGCCTGAAATTTTGTTTGATTCCCAGCTATTTGCAAACTTCCTATAAACATAAAATCCAGAGGCAGTAGTATGTCATTCAGCCCCTATGAAGTTGGCCCAAGGTCTCAAATCCTCAATATTTCAAAACTCTGTCCATCGTCTCTTTAAATAATTTCAATAATCTACACTCCACGGCTCTTTGGGTAGAGAATTCTAGACATTCACTGCCGTCTGAGAGAAGAAATTCCCTCACACCTCAGTTTAAAATAATTGTCCTCTAGTTAAGATTCCTCCAAATGTGAAAACATTTACTGTTTCAAATTCCTTCAGAATCTTGTCTATTTCAAGAGAGTATTCATCATTCTCCTAAACTCTCATGAGTAAAAGTCTTACTTGTTTAGATGTTCTCAATAAGTTGATCCCTTCATTGCAGGAATTAGCCTACTGAATCTTTTTTGAACTGACTTTAATGCCACTGTATCTTTTTTAACTAAGGGGTCAAAACTGTACTCAGTACTCCTTATGCAGCCTCCAAACACTCTGTTGTGTTGTAATAAAATTTCTCTACTTTTAAACTCCAAGCAATGAAGGTCAAAATTCTATGTGTCTCCTGAATTACTTGTTGCATCTTAATCACTCCTTATGTTTAGTCAATTATACTGTAAAATGTGTTCCCTGATCTGAATCCATCTGTAATGGTACTCCCCATCTTGGGGTTACCTCGTCCATCAATGTTTATATATTTCTCATTGAACAGTCTCGTGTTGTATAGGCTTCACCCGACCCCTAAATTAGTCACTCACAACCAGTTGGTGTTTCTCTCTGACTCAGTGAGAGGGCAGCTGTGAAGTCTATTTGTAACTGTTCCTGTGGCCAGTTTGGTGTGAGATGCAGACCTGGACTAGTCTAACCAGGTCAATGAGGGCACATTACTGACAGTATTTTGCTACATCTCTTCTCATTCCTTTCCACCATGGGCTAACATCTTCCCATCATCTACAACAGAGAACTCTCTCCCATTGTGTGCATTTCTGTGGTATATTTTATTAGGTTATTCTGAGTGCAATGTGAAAGTACCATACTTTCCTCTTCACAAGATGCAATTGCGCCTTTCCTGTGGCAACTTGCTGCACAGAGCCTGTCGTGACTGTCTTCTTTGCTGCCTTATCTGACCATTGGCCACTTCATTGAATGGGACCTGTTCCCTTTTAATGTGGTTTAACCTTTATCTCAGCTACCTCTACTGAAGGTCACTATCACTCTGTGATAGTGTGGTCCACCTACAGATTCCCTTTTTCAATAACATTTCCCAACAGAAATTATTATTAATTCTTAATTACTAGCACTGAGACACAAATCTTTCAGCTGCCAAACCAAATGAACTTTGAAAGATAGTACAGCTCTCTTTACGCAGACTGTTCCAAGTTCCCAAAACAAAGTGCATCCACTGTTTCTATCTTCTCATGATTCTTAGAAACATCCTTACAATATTCTTAACAACAGAAATCAAACAATTTTATTTGATGCCAGGCGCTAACATTTTTGAACATTTTCATCCTTTGCTATAATTTTCTTTGGCCACTCTGGCTGTTCTCCAGGACTGAGAGATGAAGAAAGTGTCTTACTTTGGTTCCTAAGTTCATCTTGCCTGACTCTGACATGAGCCATTTATTTTACCTGCCATTCCCAACCGCATGGCTTCATCTTACCTGTTTCATTGGCAGCTCCTGAGGGCTCCGACCTTTCTGTGTGACTTTTTGGCTTTCTAACCAAACACCCTCCTGCTCTGCCAGCAAGTTTCCACCTCCTCGCCTAGCGTTGCTGTTCTGCTTTGATCAGTCCAACCAGCTACAAGTCACACATCCTGAATGTGACGGTATTTTCTTCACTTGCCTCGAGATAGTGCACTTCCAACAACGTGCAAATGACTCCACATCAACAGACTCACATGGGCCCATATGGCTTAAATTGGGACAATAGCTTAACCAAATATGTGGCTCATTAAATCTATTCTTATCTTGTGAAACAACTTAATCCTCAGACCCTGAAAATGTCCAACAGATTTGAGGTTCTTGCAGCCTTTGTGGAAGACAGCAGGTACTGTAGGGAGGATGAGAAGACTGATCACTGTACCGTGGTGCTGGGGAGATTCAAGGTGAGGTTTGTAAAAAGGAATATTTTGTAGTAGGGGACCAGGTAGTTAGGGTGATAGAAGCTGTTTTCTGCAGCTGAAAATGTGAGTCCTGATGGCTATGTTGCCATTGGTGCCAGGAATATGGACATATTCTCAGGGCTGGAGAGGAATTTGGAGTGGGTGTAAAGACGAGTAAGGTGCAGGAGTAGACCATTTGGGCCCTCATTTGCTCTGCAATTTAATAAGATTGTGGTTGGTCTGACTGTAAATTGAAATCCACATACCAGTCTACACCTGATAACCTTTCACCTCTTTGCTTGACAAGAATCCACCCGCCACTACCTTAAAAATAAATAAAAGCCCCTGGTTCCACTGCCTTTTGAGGAAGACAGTTAGGTACCAGTTACATAGAGGCAATTAAGAAACAGGTTCTGTTGTGGGATTATGAACAGCTGGGAGCTAAAATAAAACTCAGAACTGCAAAGATTATCTCTGGATTCCTACCTGAGCCCCAAGCAAATTAGCATAGCCTGAATAAGATTAGACAGTTGAATAGATCATTCAAAGGTCTGTGTGGGAGAAATGGGTTTAACTACATGGTGAACTGGCACCAGTACTAGGAAAAAAAAGGAGTGATACAGCTGTGCCAGCCCATTCCTGGATGGACCTGGTATCTTGATGGATCATATAATTGAACCATAGAGACGACTTTAAATTATAGTGGAGATTTCATGTTGGAGAGATTGTTTTATTCGTGAATGGAATGTGGGCATTGCTGACCCATCCCTGATTTCCCTGGAGAAGGTGGTGGTGAGCTGCCTTCTTGAACTGCTACACCTGGGCTGTAGCTAGACCCACATGCTGCTAGAGTGGGAGTTTCTGAATTTTGACCCAGTGACACTGAACGAACTGCAATGTTTCCAAGTCGGGATCGTGAATGACTTGGAGGGGAACTCGCAAGTGGTGGTGTTACCAAGTATCTGCGGTTGTTGTCCTTCTAGATGGGAGAGGTCATGGGTTTGGAAGAGGTTGGTGGAAGAGCATGGGTGAGTTTCCACAGTAGAATTTGTAAATGGTATATGCTGCTGCCATTGTGCATTAGTGGTGAAGGTAGTGGAGGTGCCAGTCAAGTGGACTGTTTTGTCCTGGATTGTGTCAAACTTCTTGAGTGTTGGAGCCTTATTCATCCAGATTGGTGGTGAATGTTTCTTCACACTCCTGACTTGTGCCTTGTAAATGGTGGACAGGCTTTGGGGAGTCAGAAGATGAGTTACTTGCTGCAAGATTCATAGCTTCTGACCTGCTCCAATAGCCATAGTATTTATCTGACCAGTCCAGTTCAGTGTCTGGCCAATGATAATCAGGATGTTGATAGTGGGGGATTCAGTCATGGTGATGCCATTGAATGTCAGGAAAAATGGTTAGATTCTCTCTTTGTGACACTTGAATGGCATGAATGTTACTTGCCACTTGTCAGCCCAAGCCTGGATATTGTCTAGGTCTTGCTGTATTTGGGCATGGCGTGCTTCAGTATTTGAGGAGTTGCAAATGGTGCTGAATATTGTGCAATCATCGGTGAACATCTCCACTTCTGAACGTATGACAGAGGGAAGGTCATTGACGAAGCAGCTGAGATGACTGACCTCAAACAACCACAATGCCACTATGCCACTCTTCCACTATGCCAGGTATGACACCAACCAGTGGAGAGATTTCCATTTCCTGATTGCCATTGGCTCTAGTTTTGCTCAGGCTCCTTGATACCATACTCGGTCAAATATGACCATGATTTGGAGACCTCTACCATACAGAAGGACAAGCGAGCAACAAATGGGAATATCTCCACCTGCAATTTCCCCTCCAAGTCACACATTATTTTAATCTCAAACTGCATTGCTGTTCCTTCTATTGCTGGATCAAAATCCTGGATCATAAATTCTGACAAAATTGTGGTTGTACCTTGGACGGATTGCAGTGTACACGTTCTACAGTGAAATACTCGGATACATAAACACGTTCTTTATTCTTTTATAGGATGTGGGTATTACTCGCAAAGACAACATTTATTGCCCATCCCTGATTGCCTTTGAGAAGGTGGAGGTGAGCCTGCCTCCAGGAACTGCTGGAGTCCTGCCATTGTTCTTCTCTGACCTACTCTCCTTCCCTATGTGTATGTTCTAGGCAGGAGCAGTCACGGATGGAATAACAGTGGGTATGTAGTTGTGTGACACAAGAAATTTGCTACATTTGAGTTCGGGTTGTCTACAATAGTATGTTAGCCTGAATCGTGTATAAAGCATGATAAATGTGGATTGTAACGTGATTGGAGAGAATAGAGATTTAAGCAGTTTACTGGATTCTCTCCGATCTACATTAATGAATGGAGGAATAGCTGTGAGTTGTTACTTTTACAACAACAGCAACAAAAAAACCCCCGAAAGAACTGTGGATGCTATAAATCAGGAACAAAAACAAAGTTGCTGAAAAAGCCCAGCAGGTCTGGCAGCATCTGTGAAGGAAAAAACAGAGTTAACGTTTCGGATCCGGTGACCCTTCCTCAGAACAGTTGTTACTTTTAGTTTATTTCAGTGTCAAATTCCTGCTGCATTTTATCGTTGAAATATGAGTAGGCTCATTTGTTTAATCCGAGAATCCTACATTAGTGTGGAAAGATCACAAGATCCCGTCATTGAACATACTCTGCTTGACTAGTATCTACCTGGAAGAAGTGTGTATTTCACATAGATTTACATTCATGTTGAGATGTTATAAAATTAATATCTTTATTACATCAGTCTCAATGTATTACAGCTTTATCAATAAAACTTGTTTGAAAGCAATAGATAATTATATTGAACATTTTTATACTTGACAACACATTTGTGAAATTCAGTGACCAATGGCTTTTCAGGCATAGGGGCCACACTCCCAGCAGAGAACAGAACTACTGTAACCATTATCACAGAGAGGTCTCATTCCACTGGTCAGTGAGAGCTTGTTTGGAAAAAAGCCATCTCACTCTGAGTTCTGGCTGCAGATTGAGACATACACAAATGGAGGAGGAAGCGCCGACCAGACTTGACCAGCCATGCTCCAATTCCAGCGTGAGGGAAAGCCAGAGTTATTCATTTTCTGAAAGGGGGCAGTGGTAGAAGGGAAGGTGGTGATGCTGTGGGGGCTGGATTGGTGTGGAGGTGAGTTGGGGTGAGAGATGTGGTGGAGCAAGAGAGGGTTTAGAGTGATGGTGTGTGTGGGGGAGAGGGTGATGGGATGGGAGAAAGAGTGTGGGGCGCTGATTGGAGAATTGGGGCAGGAAGCTGATTCCCCTCTCAGGTACCCCAATCACCTTCCCATCCAGCAGAACTCCTGGGACAGTCCTAATTATGTTTTTAACCTGTTGTTTAATGACAGTATGATAAATGACCTCAATGATGATGCCTGCCCTACTCTTGACATTGCTAGCTCTGGATGGAGGTTACGTTGTCTGTGTGAATCGAATCTGACTGGAGCACCTCAGTCCCCAGCAGGCAAGTACTGAAGTGTCTGGAATTCACCTTGAACTGTTACTCATTCATTTCCGGTGTCATGATTCAGTATGATGCTTGTTTTTGCAGGTTGACAATTCTGGAGCAGCAGACAGTGTAAGACAGAACACTTTTATCTGTTAAGCTTGACCTGGGAATGATTTATATACGCACTAAATGCCAGAATACACATGACGTTCAGATTGGAAACTTGTTAAAGATTCAATGATATTTACAAATGCATATAAATCTAAAGCACTGATGTCATTGTTAACCCAGGTTTCTGTTAGATAAACCATTTGCCACAAATTTGCGGAGGACTGTTGCTTAAAGGTGGATTAATATTTTGAAATCAAACCTCCTGCAGTAACCAGGGTTGACCAAAAGGTGCTGCCAATTCACACAAAGTGAGTCGTGAAATGGGAATCCTGCCCTTCCAGAGGAGGCCAGTGTTCACTGACTACTCTCTCATTCTCCCTCCCTCTTTTTAGCCCACACTGTTGGCCCTCTCAGGTGAACAGAGAAGGTTCCATGGCACTGTGTCAAGGGAGGTCCAGGGGATTTTCCCCAGTGTCCAGGTCAATATTGGTCCTCAACCAAAAATTACAAAAACAGATATTCTGGGTCATTACCATAGTGCTGCTTGTGGGATCTTGCTTTGCATACATTGTTTGCCCTGTTTCCTACATCACAACATTCACTACACTTAGAAAAAACACTACTTTGCCTGTAAAAACATCTCAGTGGGCAATGAAAGGGGCTGTGGAAATGGACGCTCTCTCCTCTGTGAGCAGAAGGCACTGTCTTGACTCAGAACTCAGTCTCACGGTCAGCCAAGAGGCCGTTCCTCACTCTCGTTGTCAGACAGTGAGAGTCAACTGCTATCCAACAGAGATGGCATTACAGTATGGACCAGCTCTTGCCCTCACCCCACAATCATACCCAGGCACAGACCACTCAGGGCCAATGACCAGCACTAAGTGTAAGTTGCTGGCACCTTAACTGTGGTATACTAAGGACAGCTGGCATCTCAACCTAGGTCCTGGGTAGGCAAACTTTGCTCAGTGGTCCTTCTGTCTTTTACTCCATAGTAATTTTTCTTTGTGTCCTTGCAAGCAATGGTTCAATCAGTGACCTTGGTGCTTTTGTTTTTAACATTGATATAGTATTAACCTGTGCGGGAATAGAGTGTCCTAGCCGGCAGGGCAAACAGGTGACACATACTGGAATCGTCTGCCTGGAATTTCAGAAGAGCTGAGTGACTGGGTGGGACGTCACCCACATTCTGAATCACCAATCCCCGCATGCGCTGCCTGCTTCCTAACCCACATCCGACTGATATTTTGTTATGCCATCAGCATGTTAAATTTAGCAATTACCACAATGCAAAATTGCCTCTATTCCTGTCACAACACAACAAAAGAAATACAAGAAAAACATGCAGAGTAGAACCCATCCCCTATAAGGAGGCAGTCACAGGTTAACCTTTGCTAATTTTTAAATCTTGAGGAGTCAGTTATCATAGCTGCTCCTGACCCAAGTTCATCTCGAGAAAGTGTGAAACCTTCCTGTTTCTTTCCCCCAGTTCCTGACCAGAACAAGCTTATCACTAAACACCTCCCTACTGCTTCCTACCAAATGGATGCTGACTCATAACTGGCTTGATGGTGTTTCAAAATATTTTGATGTAAGATATCGCCACAAAATGCTGACAAAAGGATTGATTTGTGTGGCTTATGTCTACCTGGGAAACATTATACTTCACAGACATTGAATTTTCTCAGTAAATAGAAGGATATCGGAATTGAGGCACAGAAAGATTCCAATCCCATCCAGTTCAGTGTCTAGCCTCTTGGTGGTGTATAATATAAAGTTAATGGAACTGTTGACTAACCCTCTCAATTAAACCCCATTAGCAATTTGGCAATAGACCCAGACATAGGACAAATAAAGTCACCGGTGATGGACAGTTTTGAGATTTATAGGTTACTGATTCCTCCCAGGTGTGTTACATATCCTCCGAGTGTTGTCTCAAATTACTCAAAAGTTGTGCCACAAAATGTTAGTACCTGTCGAAGTTTCAGCAAATCTGCACTGTAATAAGTTGACCTCCTTCCAACATAGGGAGCCTGTTCCATCTATGGACTATTCACATACTCACTCGTTCACTGGAATGATGGTTGGGATCTTGCTGGCCGGGAGAATTGATGTTGAGTGCCACTGTGTGTCTTAAGACTGTGTGGATGTACGGTGGCATTGTGGCGGCTATTTTATGGGCACTGGCCAATCCTATTACTAGATCTCCAGCCGATTAATGATGCTGTCCACTGTTCAAAACTGGCAGCCCAATCAGAGTTGGCACAGTGAGCAATGCCACTGATAGAGGTGACACAGGTAGAGGGAAGAGTCCTTTGCTGTTGAACCCTGCAAGGGTGGGTCAAAAAAACAGGTGAGGTGTCAGGGCCAGGCAGGTAGACCCCAGCAATTGGAGGGAGAGCCCCTCCAGCAATGGTGTGTAAGGATACTGGACAATTCTGAGCTGCACCAAGGCTGGAATTCTGTCCCTCAGCCTCTCCTCCTATAGAGATCTCTGTAAAAAGCCAACTCTTTGACTAAGCTGTCATTCACCTAAGCCTTTCCCCCACCATGCTGTCTTATATGTCATTTGCTCAATGCCCATGTTGTGCGCTTACTCTTCAATCTGAGGCCCTACGCAAACGCAACCTGTCGTTGTGGGTTAGTCACTAGGAGGTAGTTCTCTCGGCAGAGAAGTGTTTAAACTGTAGAATGAGTTGTCAGGTTATGGCTTCTGAGAGTGGGAGTGATTATGAGAACCTATTCTGTATTGTGCTGACAGTCAACAATATTCATTGTGTGAGGTTAGAGAACAGCCAATAAAAGGAACCATAGTTTTCTTTCACCATGAGAAGAGAAATATATACATAAGATACGAGGCACTTCAACGGTATTTAAACTACAGTCAATTTCAAAATTGGCTCAATGGCAAGAAGCAGAAGGTGATAGTCGAAGATTGTTTCTCAGACTGGAAGCCTGTGACTAGTGGTGTGCCACAGGGTTTGGTGCTGGGACATTTGTTATTTACATAAAAGAACGCATGTGAATGTACAAGGCATGATTAGTAAGCTTGCGGATGATACAAAATTAGAAGGTATCGTTGATAGCGAGGAAGGTTATCAAAAATTACAGAGGGACCTTGATCGGATGAGGAAGTGGGCTGACGTTTGGCAATGCAGATAAATGTGAGGTGTTGCACTTTGCAAAGTTAGACCATGATAGAACTTGTACAGTAAATGGTAAGGTCCCGAGGAGTGTTGTGGAACAGAGGCACCTAGGAGTACAAGTACATAGTTCGTTGCGGCGTCACAGGTGGACAGGGTGGTGAAGAAGGCTAGCATGCTGGCCTTCATCAGTTGAGGCATTGAGTGTAGGAGTTGGGAGATTATGTTACAGTTGTACAAATTGTTGGTGAGGCTGCATTTGGAGTATTGTGTACAGTTTTGGATACCCTTTTAGAGGAAAGACATAGTTAAACTGGAAAGTGTGCAAAGAAGATTTATGAGGATGTTGCCAGGACTAGTAGGCCTGAGTTATAGGGAGAGATTGGCCAAGATAAGACTTTATTCCTTGGAATGTAGGAGAATGAGGGGTGACCTTATTGATGTGCATAAAATCATGAGGGGCGTAGATGGGATGATCGTATATAGTCTTTTTCCCAGGGATGGGGAGTTGAAAAACTAGGGGGCATAGGTTGAAGGAACGAGGGGAAAGATATAAAAGGACCTGAGGGGCAACATGTTCACACAGAGATTGGTGCATATATGGAACGGACTGCCAGAGAAAGTGGTTGAGGCAGGTACAATAGCAATATTTAAAATACATTTGGATTGGTACATGGATGGGAAGGGTTTAGAAGGATATGGACCAAATGTGGACAATTGGAACTAGCTGGGAATGCACCATGGTCAGCACGGTCCAGTTTGGGCCAAAGGGCCTGTTTCCATGCTGTATTACTCTATGACTCTATGATTCTTTAAAGAAGAATGAAAACATAACTACCGTAGGATATAGCACTTACTCATATTTCTTTCTGGCTTCAGTCTCATGCTGTTTGTGCAGCAACATATCTAGATTTAAAGTGCAGGGTGTTCTGGGATGTAAATCAGCAGAGGGAATCCTGGCTGACTTCCCCATCTTCTCCCTCTTTCCTTCCCCACCTTCATTATTCTGATCTCAGTGAATCTGTTCAACATCACACCATGCAGTCTGCAGTACTCAGTTCCATTGGTTTCTGAGCCACTGTAGGTTGTAGCTGACGCGTTGGTTAGCTTATTTGGCAGGACAACTGGTTTGTAATGCAGAGTAGCCTCTGGGCCAGTCGGACCATGGCAACTTTACCTTTATAGATAGATATGAACAGGACAGGGTTCATACAGTCACTGAGTCACATTCCCTGGCTGGAGTTGGGTAGCAGGGTTAAGTGACACTCTTGAGCTGGTGTGCAGTATGTCTACCCACAGCCGCCAGCTGTGCAGCTTCTGCTGCGTCTGTAAAGACATGTTCAATCGCATAGGAGTCAGTTTACAGATTCCGCCACTTTCTCTTTTCTTTTCCTCTGACTCTGTATTCCTCCATCAACTGACCAAACACACTGAGACGCCATCAAATTGAAACCCAATCTTGCCCACTTGCAGCAGGAATAATGGGAATACAGTTAGACATTTCCCTTGCTTCCTAAACCCAGGAGTGCTGAGGTCCCAATTGTGATGCTCCAACTTAGATCTTCAAAGTGGCATTTAAAGCAGGCAGTCTCAGATGGAACAACCCACAAAGCCATTGGCCCGTCTTTGAAAGAGCAAACCAATTAGTCCCATTGTCCCATATGCCCAGCAAAATTCCCCCTTCAAATTTTTTTAACCAATTCACCTTTGAAATTTACAATTGAATTTACTTCTATCAACCTTTAAGGCAGTATATTTCAAATCATTATAACTGTCCGGATAAAAAATAATTCTCTTTAGTTCTGCTCTGGTCCTTTTGACAATGAGCTTAAAGCTCTGTGATTTGGTTACAGACCTACTTGCCAGAGAAATAGGTTTGTCTTTCTTGTTCTCTCAATACCTTTTGTGAAAGTGTATATGCTACCATAATGTGACCCTCAGAGACATTCTTCAGATATCAGAAATCCTTCCAGTTAAGTGCCCTGAGGCAGGTTCAAACACCTGCTGATAAAAGACACCAGAGCCACCTGACTGTGTCTCAGTGCCGTTTCTAAGTCCAGTGACCCACTATTGAGGGAAGGTAGGCTTTACAGACTGAAGTTGTGCCAGTGTCGAGCATGACACCGGCCAGTGAAAGGAATGCCATCTCATCGAGAAATAAAACCCCAAGCCCCTTAGTTTTTGTGCCCCATGCAGCCCATTTGAAGCTCTCCTTGCTGTGGGTTGTGTAACCCTCTCCCTGCTGATGCTCCCTTCAGTCTGCGTTGCCAGTGTAGGTGAAATTTGTGAAGGTTGTCGTTGGCCCTTTGTACAGTGGGTTGTTGGCCTGAAAGGAAACAATGTTGTCAACATGGTGAAGCTGCATCTTGCTCGGTGAATGCATTTACAGAGTATGTAGCCCAGTCACAGTGCAGACGAGGTGCCTGTCTGATGGGACCGTTACAGTGAGACCGTGATGGGGGCTGGCTATACAGCCATGTCATGATCAGTATAATTCAGTTTTACTCAAAGTAGCAGCACAGCACTGAAACCTACTGATGAACTTTAGAACTTTTCACTGTCTCTCTTTCTAACTGAGAACATGTTGTTAATTATGTAAAATATGTTGCCACTTAAATAAAATAAGGTCAAATACTACCATTTGGACACTAGCTAATGAGCAAGGTATGCCTTGTTTGACCACATGTATAGAATTCAGTTTCCCATGAGCAATGCACGCTACAAGTGAGCAGGTCCTTGGCTTAATCCCCTGGTCCAGAGTCGCAGGCTGAGCCAAGGCTCCAGGTCCGTGGCTAGGCCTGGGTGCCTGACAGAGGATGTGGCGATGGCAGCAAGTTTGGTCCCTATAGCACAGGCAGCCGGCTGCATTGGCAAGGTTGGCCTGGCGTAAGCTCATGGATGAGGCGAGATGGTGCCGCAGAGTGGCAACTCTCCAGCAGCGGCGGTGGTATGGTGAAGCGCACTTACAGCAGTGTCGTCGGTTTAGCAGCAGGGACTCAAGACATCGGGTTGGAGGAGACTGGATCCAGGCCCATGGCTGAGCCAGAAGCAGCAGCTGTTTCAAAGACCACTTAACCTTTTTGAGGTAAGACTGTAAGATGGACTTCATTGTTTTATTTTTCTGGCTTTATATTCTGTGCTTTGGTTTATTTTCTGTCTCAAGATGGCTCTGGATACTGGTGACACTGAACAACACTTTTCACTGTATTTGTGATAAATACACGTGACAATAAATCAAAACAAATCAGTGTGCTACATCCTACCAGTCTATCCGGGACATGTGTCAAACTATATGTCGTGGGTGGGGCTTGGGATTTTATACATTGATAGAAGCACAATGTCTTTGATTGAGCTTGCAAGTAATTTCTGTCAGTATTTTTCTAAGTGTGTGTAATGCCCAAACCCTGCGCCAAGGTCACTAAATACAAACCGTTCCTTACCGTATCCCACCTCGCTTTGGCTCGTTCCGCCTCAAACTTGGCAAACTCTCGCTTATCGTGGACGGTGACCAGCAACTTCCAGATCAATAGAGCCACCAAACCACACAGCAGGATGGCAGCCATCAAACACAGGATAATGAGCAGGACGTTCACCGGCGGGGGGCACTCTACAGGGGGAGAAAAGGAAAAGAAGTTGCATTAAGGTAGCATCTCAGGACATAGTCTTCCTCCTCCTCAGTGTTCAATAAAAGATGAGAGGAAGCAGAACATAGCAAAAGGGAGCAGTAATGGGAACTGATAAAAACAGCAGCGACATTAGAAACTCCCAAAAACAACAGCATTAATGATTCTAGAAAAAGTGAGAAAGGATGTATCGAACTGTAGGCGCATCAATTCTAAGAGTGAAACTAAACTTGGCCACAAAATGTGAAGTTTTCTGTCTTGTACTCACTGGGACTGAAAACTCACTTCAGAAAAAAACAGCAGGTGAGTAGGGCACTCATTGGTTGGACTTTGGTTGTTATGGAAATGCTATGGAAACTGTTAACCATTCATTTAATTAACCAATTAAATTCAGACCAGGCAATTCTTTCAGACCTGATGAGTGCAAGACAACATGCCCAGACTTCATGTCTCTTTCTGGCAATGTTTAAACAGTAGAGCTAATATGGGATGGTGATCTGAAAGCACAGATTACTGCATGGGATTAGGAGGTGGTTGCGTTAATAGAGACATGGCTCAGGTAAGGCTCATGATTGGATGCTTAATATCCCTTATTACCAAATGTCCAGGAATGAAAGGCAGACACGGCAGTACCAGTTAACAATATATTTCTAAATGGAAAATTCTAGGACTGAATCTTGAGTTAAGCAAGAGAGGGGAAACTATTACGTTGTTGGTGAACTTTAAACAGCATCAAAAAGTGAGGACTGAAATGAGCAAATGTGTTGAAAATGTAGTTGAAATCTTGGTATCAGCAGTCCTTAAAGGTGGCAGTCAGGGAAGTGTGGTGATTAGAAACATTCGGGGCTGGATTTAATGCAGACCCCACTCCCACAACAAGGTGTGTTTTCCACAGCGAGAGGGGGACAACAAAATATAGTGGGTAGCCCATCACCATTCCCCTCCAACCCAATGCCTGTAATATGGCAGACGTTGAAATTGGCAGGCTAATTTTAAATAAATACAGTAATTAATGGCAGATCGATCTTGTTACTAAGGCAGTTGATCTGAATATTATTGGAAAGAAGGTGAGGGGAGGGGGAGTTGTGTACATGTGTTGGGGGCACAATTGAGTTACATGTACCCCCCTCAAAGATATTATCCTCAATTTGTTCCTCCCTGCCTAGCTTCCAAAACCCACAGCCCTTCCCCCCACCAACTCCCTCTCAAGACTGTCCAATTGCTCCCTGTCCAAGATGCTGGATTTGCCTCATCCTGGGATGTAAATCCCCTTGTTTACCCAGGAGCACCCACTACCGATGTCAGCCAATCAGAGTGGTCAGCATTTCTTGGGAGTGGCACTTCCTCCTATGAGGGACAGAAGTGACACGCTTGCCTGATTTGTATCATTGGCTGAATTGTATTGCTAAGGGTGGCCTTGTTGAGCATCAGTTGGAGCGACGTCACTTTGGAAGGGGGAGTAAGCGATATGCTGTTATAATGGATAAAATGACAGGGCACATTTTCAAATTGAGGCCTAGTAATAAAACTGCCCAGATTTCAATCCTGTTTATACCATTGTTGATTTGCAAGGTTAGTTCCACGCAGGGACGACAAGTTGAAAATCTGCTCTGAAATGTAACTGCATAGCTAACTTCGCGCATCATTGCTACCAACCCCAGCCATCGTCGTCATGTCATGTCTGTTTCATTTCCCACCAGCTTGAATAATGTGCCCTCTGTTTACTAACCTGCCTCCCAATTGAAGTTTTACTCTTTTGAAACCTTTCCTTAATTTGAGCTGTCTTTTTATATTAGCTTTGCTCATGAGATGTCAGCCTCATTCAAAAAGGCAACATTTGTTGTTCATTCTTAATTGCCCTTGTGAAGGTGGGGTGAAATTACACCTTGGAACTCCATGTAGTGTTGATACAGCCACAGTATTGTTAAAGAGAAAGATTTTGACCGAGTGACAATGAAGCAATCTAATTCCAAGTTAGGATGCTGTGTGATGTTGAGGAGAACTTTCAGGTGGTTTAGTTTCCATGAATTTGCTGCCCTTGTCCAATGTGAAACAGGTCATGGGTTTGGAAAATGCTGTTAAAGGTGGCTTGGCAAGTCGCTGCCATGTATCTGGTAAATGGTACACACTGTGTGGATGGTGGAAAGAATGAATGTTTAAAGTTAGCAGATCAAGTGGACTGCTTTATGTTGGATAACACTGAGTTTCTTGAGTGTTGTTGGAGCTGCACTCATTCAGACATGTGTAGGGTATTCCATCACACTCCTAACTTGTGCCTTGTAGATGTTGGACAGGTTTTGGAAAGTGAGGAGTTGAGTTACTCGCTGCAGTATTCCTCGCCCCTGACCTGCTCTTGTGGCCACTGTATTTATGTGGCAAGTCCAGTTCAGTTTCTGGTCATTGGTAACCTCCAGGATGTTGTTAGTGTGGATGGCAATAGCATTGAACATCAAGGGGAGATGGCTAGATTCTCTCTTGTTGGAGATGGTCATTGCCTGGTGTTCGTGTGGAGCAAATATTGCTCTCCTTAACCTTCACTGATGTTAAATTATGATTATACAAGATGTTGTATTTGCATTGATTAGTATGAAAACTGAAAAAGATGAAACTAAATAATCACATAGAGAGGAATTGAGCCAATACAAGGAATAACAGTTTGTCAAACCTGGTTCTTCGATGACTGACAGAATGGATTTTCCATTTGACTCTTCATGATAACGGAACCGAACAACACAACCATTCTCATCCTTATAGGTACAGATGACCCCATCTGTAGTTTCTGAATCTACAGAGAAAGGGACAGGACAACAATCAAGTGTGATTGAATGAAATAGAGAGATAACCAAAATGGCCACCAATTCCTCATTATGGTATGCTGCTGCAATGGCCAATCTCCTCCTAACCAACCTGAAATAACTCCATAGAGGCCGGTATGCCATCACCAAGTCACTCTTTATTTACATGTGGAAAGTCCTTGATGCTGATCCAGCTCCCTCAGAGCCAGCTCTCAGAATGAACAGAGCCTCTGATACTCTTGTTTTTATCTGTCAGCTAGGGGTCCCTGATTGGACCAGATTATCAGCCCCAGTCAAGGTGCTCATATTCTATGAGATTCACCAGGCTGACCTTGTGACAATCACTACACAATCTCCACGTAACATGCCCAAAATGAGCAAGTTAGACAAAGGACAGCTAGTGGATGTGATTTCCAGAAGGCCTTTGACAAAATGCCACACAGGAGTCTGCTAAATAAGTGGAGGACACTGTGACTGGGGAGCATTTACTGCAGGACACTGTGATTGGGGGAGTGTTTATTGGAGGATGCTGTGACCAGAGAAGGGTTTATTGGAGGATGCTATTACTGGGGAGGGTTTATTGGAGAATCCTGTGGCTGGGGAGAGTTTAATGCAGGACATTGTGACTGACTAGGGGTTATTGGAAGAAACTGACTGGGAAGGGTTTATTGGAGGACCCTGTAGCTAGGGAGGGTTTACTGGAGGACACTGTGGCTAGGGAGGGTTTATTGGAGGAGACTGTGACAGGGGAAGGGTTTACTGGTGGAGACTATGACTAGGGAGGGTTTACTGGGTGGCATTGTGCCTATAGGAAAGGTTTATTGGGTGACGCTTTTCCACTAGTGCTCCAGTCTGAGCCTGCAAGCAGCACAGCTAGTCGCATAACCTGACATGTCATTTGGAAACTTACCCAAAGTCCTCACTCTTCGGATCTCATCTCTGCACACCCTGTCACATGTGCCGTTCTCCATCAACTTCCCAGTCTCAAACACTTTACACTCGACACAGCCCCTGCAAAGGAAAGAAGGAATGAGGTGCAAAAAAGTCAAGACTTCTCTGAGACTTAATTTGGTTTTGAAGCAGATTAATCTCAGTTCTTCTCTCCTGGTCCTTACTAGAGGTGGCATTCACTGAATTTGAAGTCTAAGAATCAACAGGTTAAAGGACATTACAACCAAATCTATTCCTGTCGTGAGCTAGTGCATCCGTCTTCACCTCGAAATTTGTTTTCCCTTTAATGAGCTTTTCAATTAGCTTTTAGTTCTTTAGTCTTTTTTGTTCAATCTGCCTGCAAAGAAAGACTTGCATTTTACAGTGCCTTTGCAATTTTAGGGCATCCTAACCTGTTGCAGTACAAGAAACAAGGCAGTTAGTGTTCTGACACTAAATTCCCACAAACAGTAAAGAGATCATAACAGCATACAAACATGTGAATTAGTAGCAGGAGTAGACCTCAGAGACTGCCATGCAAATTAATGAGATCTTGTCTGATCTTTTCATAACCTCCACACCACCTTCACCTAACACCCCTCCCAATAATCCTTCACCTCCATGCTCATCAAGAATCTATCAACCTCTGCCTTAAAGATATTCAAATACTCTGCTTCCCCATCTTAAGGAAGAGATTTCCAAAGCCTGTTTTAATTGGACTGTACCTTATTTTTAAACTGTGATCCTGTAGTTCTAGATTCTCCTATGAGATAGAACACATATCTCCACATCCACACTATCAAGACCGCTCATGATATTGTACATTTCAATCAAATCATCTCCTACTCTTCTGCAATCCATTAGATATGTACCTAGCCTGTCCAATCGTTCCACATTAGAAAACCTTTTGATTCTGGGTATTAGTCTAATAAACTGTTTCTAACACTTTTACAACTCTTCCTTAAATAAGGAGACCAATATTATGCGCAATACTTTACATGTGGTCTCTCAGATGACCTCAAGCATAACCAATTTGATCCAATATAATAACTGCATCAATTTTCTAGTGCTGTTGACAAGACATAAATATCGGCTCAGGATACCCAACTCCCCTTTTTCTTTTCAAAATAGTGCCATGGAATCTTTTACAACTACCAAAGAGAGCAAACACAGTTTTGATTTGGAAACAGCCTCCCCTGATAATGCAGCATTCCCTTTCAGTGCTGTGCAGGAAGGTTAGCTGAGATGTTGTGTTCCGGTTTCTGGAGTGAGATTTGAATTTGCGGACTCAATGGCAAGTGTTACCACTGAGCCACAGTGAACAGAAAGCTCTGGATCAAATGTCTTCCTTCCAATTGAGGTGGGCAAATTCCCCAATCTTCCCTTCAGGAAGAACCCAGAGAGTGTGAATGGCAGTCAAGCATGTAATTGAAAAGTGGAACGCAGTGAAATATGGAAGAGCTGCCCCAATGTGACTGCCTGATCCTTTCTTCTGAGTTGCTCGACGAGCTGTGGTGATGGTAGGGAGAACTGGACTCACCTTTTGAAGGAGCAGGCATCGGGGCAGGTGGGGCATTTCTCACACTGGTCTCCAAATGCTCCGCCGGTGCAAACACACTTCCCACATTCACAGTGGCCTCGCCCGCTGCAGATTAGCCCAAAAGTGGGCACACAATTGTCAGTCTTGACAGTGCAGTTGCAGTAACTGTCGGTCCAGTCTGGGAAACATTTGCACTCTCCGCACTCACACCTGCCATTCCCTATGGTGAATGAGCAATGACAGTTAGAGCCAGAGCTGCAAACATTGTAGAAGTAGCACAGATTTTCAAAAATTATCTATCATGATGGCTCACAAAAGGTTCATGCATGGGAAAAGGGCTCATGGATTTTTCCTAATATATTCACATGGACAGAAGATTGGTTAATAGACTGGAAGCAAAAAGTTGTAGACACATTGATAGAGATTGATGACTGTGATTGGTCAATAACTCTGTGATGTTTGTCCCATGTGGGTACCAGGATGATAGAAAATGAGAGAAGTGGGATATTTCTCATTTCCCATCCAGCAATTCCCTGTTCACTTTCTTTCATTTTCTCATCGTCTCTTGTAGTCTTGTAATATTCTCTTTTTTCCATATTTCACAGTTCTTCTGACCTCTGGTTTTCTGTCACATTCTCCTATTCTTCCTTAAAGATCAGCATGGCCGTCTATGTATGGAGCCACAGGAGATGGGGGAGAATTCTAATGAGTATTTTTCCTCAGTGTTTACTGAGGAGAGAATTATGAATGCTATGGAAATAAGGGAAACAAGTGGGGATGTTTTGGAACGCATAGATATTACCAGAGAGGAGGTGCTGGTGAAATTCTGGAAGACTGGCAAGTGGCTAATGTTATTCCATTGTTTAAGAAAGGTAGCAAAGACAAGCAAGAGAACTACAGGCCAGTGAGCCAGACATCAGTGGTTGGCAAATTATTGGAGAGGATACTGAGGGACAGGATCAACCAAAATTTTGATAGCCAAGGTCTGATTAGGGATAGTCAGCATGGATTTGTGTGTGGGAAGTAATGTCTGACAAATCTTTTAGAGTTTTTCGAAGAGGTAACCAAGAGGATGGATGAGGATAGGGCAGTGGATATTAGTAAGGCCTTTGACAAGGTCCCGCATGGCAGGCTAGTCATGAAGGTTAGTCTGCACGGGAATGGAATTGGATTCAAAATTGGCCCAACTGTAGGAAGCAGAGGGTGATGTTTGAAGGTTATTTCTCAGACTGGAGGCCAGTGACTAGTGGTGTGCCACAGGGGTCGGTGCTGGAACCTTTGTTATTTGTGATTTACATAAATGATTTGGATGGAAATGTACAAAGCATGATTAGTAAGTTTGCAGATGATACAAAATCAGGAGGTATTGTTGATAGCGAAAAAGGTTATCAAAAATTACAGCGGGATCTTGATCAGATGGGGAAGTGGGCTGAGGATTGGCAAATGCAATTCAATACAGGTAAGCGTGAGGTGTTGCATTTTGGAAAGTCAAACCAAGGTAGGACTTATACAGTAAATGATAAGGTCCTGAGGAGTGTTGTGGAACAGAGGGACCTACGAGTACATGTACCTAGTTCGTTGAAAGCGGCGTCACAGGTGGATAGGGTGGTGAAGAAGGCATTTAGTATGCTGGCCTTCATCGGTTGAGGCATTGAGTGAAGGAGTTGGGACATTATGTTACAGTTGTATAAGTCATTGGTGAGGCTGCCTTAGGTTTAAGGTGAGAGGGGACAGATTGAAGAAGGACCTGAGGGGCAACTCCATCATGCAGAGAGTGGTGTGTATATGGAATAGGCTGCCAGAGAAAGTGTTTGAGGCGGGTCCAATAGCAACATTAAAAAAACATTTGGATAGGTACATGGATGAGAAAGGTTTAGTGGGATATGGGCCAAATGCGGGCAATTGGAACTAGCTGAGTGGGCACCATGGTCAGCATGGATCAGTTTAGGCCGAAGGGCCTGTTTCCATGCTGTATTACTCTATGACTCTTTGACTGTCTTTCTCCCTCCTCCTTTTTGTTCTTGATCGTTCCCTCCATCTCGGTCTTTCAACAAATGGACTGTTCTAGGTCACTTCCCATACCCTGTTTCCAGGTATATTTGGTGCCTGTTGTCAATGTGTCCCTTATATTATCAAAAGAGGATGGGGATAAATTGAGGCAATGTCAAGTTGTCAGGCAATGACTTGCCAACTGCTGAAAGGACCAGTGTTGAAACCTCAGGTACTTATAATTCATGTCAACAACTTCTAAATGTTGAAGTTCTGTGGGACTTGTGATTATTCATACAATCAAGGCACACAAAATGTACCATACAGGTGCAGCAAGCAATTCCTATTGGCCTTTATCTTTTTTTTAATTCATGTGCATGATGAGAGCATTGCTGGCTAGGCCAGCATTTATTGTCCATTCCTCATTGCCCAGAGGGCAGTTAAGAATCAGTCACATTGCTGTGGGTCTGGAGTCACATGTAGGCCAGACCAGGTAAGGATGGCAGTATCCTTTCCTAAAGGATATTAGTGAACCAAATGGGTTTTTCCCTTGACAATTCAAACCACTGCTGTGGTGGGATTCGAACCAGGGTCCCCAGAACATTCCCCGAGTTTCTGAATTAACTGTCCAGCGATAATACCACTAGGCCTCCTATGCAATGTATTAAGAACATAAGAGCAAAGCAGTCTTGTTACAATTATGTTGGGATTTGGTGAGACCACACCTGGAATACTGTGTGCAGTTTTGGATAGTCTTCATACTGTATTTAAGGAAGGATGAATGCATTCAGTTGGAAGCAGTACAGCAAAGGTTCACTAGATTGATGCCTGGACTCAGACATTGTCCTTTGATGAGAGGCCAAAGAAGTTGGGCCTGTACTCTGGAGTTTAGAAGAATGATAGATGATTTCATTAAAACATTGTAGAACCTAATGGGGCTTGAAACTGTGATGTTGTTTCCCTGGCTGAGAAAATCTAGAACATGGGGACACAGTTCCAGAATAAGGGTCTGATCAGTTAGGACTGAAACGTGGAGAAATTACTTCACTCTAAGGAATGTGACAATTTGGAAATCTCTATCCCAGAGGATTGCAGATGCCCCTTTAAAGCTGGAACAGACCAGACTTTTGATTTCTCAGGGAATCAAGGGATATGGGGAATGGATACAAATGTGGATTTGAAGCTTAAGGTCAGCCATGATTGTACTAAGGAGTAGAGCAGGACCGAATGATCCACTCCTGCTCCTGATGTTCTTATGGTCTCTTTGCGCACAATCAATGCTAATCTTACATTCCCCTTCCTCACCCCATGGACCACCACACTACACCGCATCCCTTTCAATAATGTCAGGGATGTGTTGGAGAAAAAGCACCAAACATACATGGAAAAAGAGTATGGGAAGTGGCCTAGAACAGTCCATTTGTTGGAAGATATGGAGGGAATGATCAACAATGAAAAGGAAGAGGGAGCAAGAAAAAGACCACAGGGAGAATAGGAGAATGTGAGAGAAAACAAGGTCAAAAGAATTCTGGAAAATGAAGAAAAGAGAATACAACAAGACTGCAAGAGGGCGTGACAGAATGAAGGGCACAAAACAGGGAATGGCCAGATGGGAATTGACAAATACATCACTTCTCTCATTTTTTATCATCCTGGTACCCACATTACAACCTGGGACAAACATCATAGAGTTACCGACCAATCACAGTCATCAATCTCTATCAGAGTCTACAACAGACCTAGTCATGAGGGAAGAGCTTTGAGAACCAGGAGATCAAAGTCACTTGATCCTCCAATGCCACATCACAGTCACCACAGGCAACCTTTCAAATTGTTCATATTCAATATCATTGAACCTTACTTTGCAAAATAAATCTATTTGAAGGAAAAGAGTAAAAGATAGATGGACCATTTGTAGCCATTCTTCAATAACCCATTTAAACAAACATTCTGCTCGAATATACACAATTAGATACGCGATATACATCTATTATTATTCACATGCTTGTAGACAGCTATAGGGTTGCATATGGGAATTGGTTAGCTCAGTTGGCAGGACAGCTGGTCTGAAATGCAAGTGACACTGACAGTGTATGTTCAATTTCTATATCAGCTGACTTTACCATGAAGGACCGTGCTGTATGATTCTATGACTCTGCTTCTCAACCCCTCCCATCACCTGAGGCATGGTGACCTCAAGTTAAACCACCAACAGTCGTCTCTCTCTCCCTGTCTAATGAGAGAGCAGCCGTATGGTCTGCTGGGACAATGTTGCCTTTACATGACCTGTGGACAACCCTGTGAGCTGTCTACCCACCTTCCTTCCTAATCTAGGAATGTAGTGTTAATTTGAGAGAGGATTTTTAAAATACTGTTTAACTTGCTAACTCTCAATAGTCATCAGACTGATTAAGTTCTGTGGGTTTGGAGAAATGGGCTGTGTCTCCATAAAGAGGAAGTGTATACTCAGAAGTGGGTGAATTGAAAACTATTGAGTAAACACAAAGATGGTTTCACCATGTCAAGCACCTGGGTTAACCAAAAAAATCCCAGGAAAATCAATATTAGTTGGCATTTCTGGCCCACAACCTTTGCTCTTTTTCTCCTTGTATTCTGTTCAGTTTCTATAAAACTGTCGTCCTTACTTTTCCTACCCACTTCTGATTGCAATCTGTACCCAAAACATTGACTGGCTTCTCAACCCCTCCCCTCTTTTTCCAAAGCCTTTTTCTTCCTTGCACCTCACTTGCCCACAGATGTTCATCCCTCTCCAGATCCGTGTCTGGCACAGCAGCCATGATTGTCCAGAATATTCTGTTTTAGATTTTTTGAACTGAATTTCTAATTCGCAAATGATTTGTCAGTGCACAGTGGAGTCACAGGCACCTGTTAGTTAGATGGGCACCATCTAGAAGCTTCTTGCAACATGCTGTGGATCTCCTTACCAACAATGAGTGCTCATTAAAACAGACCGTTAATACTGTTTGGGAATGCAGCTTCTGGACTCTGCATCCGTACAGGACAGGACTGGACTTGGGTGTCTCTAAATCCCCTAAGTTTTAAAACTTAGGCCTTGGGAGAAATGGCTGGAACCTTTATTCCCATCACTCTCATGATGTCATGCAACCAGACTGTGTCTGTGAGCACCACATGAGAGATCATTAGTGCATAAAACAGTGATGTCATTTTACGAACTAGTTTTATGTTCCTGTTGATTTTGTTTGATTAATA